ACAGCCTAGCCTGAGCCCCAGCAGGCACGTACTTTATGAATTTTTCCTACAAATATTTAGACAAGAAACACTGTAGATAGGGCTAAAAGAAATTATTGCTGTGCACTTACTTCTAAAGACCTGTTTCTCTACAGGAATCACCAGTCTGGCAAGATCAACAGTAGGAATGAAGGTGAGACTGCCACACTAAATAACTTTTCACCTACAAGACAGGCTTTTTTCCCTTTTTGTACTATTGAAAGGTGTTTGAAGTTTTTTTCCTATGTATATTTCAAAGTAATTTTGATTCATTCATTGTGAAAAATCAGCGTGTAGACTCTCAATTTACCTGTCCCTAAGCTGTATCTTTTTACTGCTTTTTTCCTCACCTGTCACGCTGTTCTTATCTTACCAGTACTGTTGCAAACAGGTAGAGTGTACGTACCAGCAACTTTCCTGTGCTCAAAGTCCTCAATGGGCCTTACACAAGATGGTTCTTGTCAAAGCCTCCACGTTTTGTCCCTCAGAAGACATCGTTGCTATGAGTCATGCATACAGGCTGAGTGACAAGGTACAGGCTCGCTTTTATATGCACTGAGGCTTCTCTGTATGGAGATGGGGAGCTACAGAGGCATCTGCGCTCCCTGCTGTCATGCTCCGCCTGTGGGAAAGGTAGGACTGCTTTCAGCAGCAGTACCGTGGTACCTACCTTTCTGCTTTTCCACTGCCTGTCAAACATGATCTCTTTACATAGGTGAAACTGGCAAAGTCACTCTGCAGCTGCAGACTGAGACTTTCTTTCCCTTGGCGTCTGTGCTGGCCATTGCAGTGAGCAAACTTGGAAATGCCAATCCCATGCCATTGCCTCAGGACTCCCGAAGTGGTCTGTGCATCCACTCAAAGGGGGTAGTCAACCCACAGTGGTATTTTTCCTATAATTTCTGGAATCCTAAGTTAAAAAGAAATCTTCTGTAACAGCTGTGAGGTATGACAAGAAAACAAAAAACTGTTTGCTTACTTAATGGCCATCAGTCTTTATGGTGCTTCTGGTTCATTTATAGCTCAGGACTGAGATAAAGGTTGGCATTGGCCATACAACAGTCAGCTCTTGTATGTGGGCAGTACAGTTGCTGGGGAACACAATGCCAATATTTTCTATGTTGACACCAGCACCTGTTCGGTTTCTTAAGCAGGGGTGGCTTCCGTGCAAATAACTCTTGTGAGTGTTTGCATCAACTGGATTCCAGTTTGCTCTGTAAAATTGAGCATAACAGAGCAGTAAAAGAGATTTCCACATTCGTTGTAAAAACATAATTTTGTCCACCTAGATACCAAATCTGACTTTGGTACTGCTTTCCCATCAGTTGCTAATGGGGCCAGAAGAGAGCAAGTTTCATCTTGGAGAAGATGAAACAGGGAAACCTTATGAATATGATCGTTTAGCAAAAGATTCTGAAAGTATGAAACCTATGGTCAAAACAGAAATGAAAACTAGCTTTGAGATATAGGATACTGAGTGTTAGTTACTATATAACCAAAGAACAATAGCCTAGCCAGCTGAAGGAGAATCCCTGTTGATTGAACAATTCCCTTCTGCTGACAGTGAATCCAAAGGTTGAAGCAGTAAGAGAAGAATTTGGAGAGTAGCTTTTAGAGTTTAAAATGTAACACTGTGTGGTAATGTAGTAGTTCTTATGGGCTATATGTAAATTCTATAGAATGTGTGTCGTGTACTGGTTGGTTACTGGAAAATAGAATACTCACCATAGAAAAAGATAATGTACTGTAACAAGAACTTTGCTCTCTTAATTTCCCCCCTTACCCTTCTCTTTCTACCCCCTAAATTGCCTACTGCTCTCATACTCTCAGCCCCCTCTTTCTACTCTCTCTCTCCCCCTCATTGAGCACGTTTGCTCTGTGACTGGCAATGTAGACTGATCTCTTCCACCTTCTATTTAAATAATAAACTGCTTATTCCAAGAGCAGCCTGGTTTAGAGAAGTCTCCACTGCAAGCCCATTTTACTCCTACATGCAGGAATCATTTGAAATTGAGAGAGCGTTGCTCCTACTATTGTGAGTGGCAGTGAGTATTTTACACACATTTCTGACCTGCACTTTCTGTGGCGTTTTTTAATAGTAGGTGAAGATCAGCAAACAGTAATAAGAGTTTATAGGGGTCTTGCTCAAATGCACATCTGATTGTTTTTATGTAATCCCCCTGCTGACTGCACAAGCATGGCCCAGTGTTGTAAATCCATGGTGGGATTTAATGTGATGATGGATAAACTTGGTTGTGTATCAAATCTCCCTCCCTCCAAAGGGGATAGGGAAGCCATCAGTCCTGAATGTGTCCCACTCGTTTGGAGTATCACAGAAAATACGGTATTTTCAGCCTTTCCTACATTGGGTGGCACAGAAGAGATATTTTAAGGTTGTAGTAGGTTCTCATCTACATTCTAAACTGTGATGCAGGCCTGCTTTGGGCTCCTGGCTGCCTCCAAAATAATGCTCCTGGTTAAAGCCAGGTAAACCATTCTTGGTACAACAGCAGCAGCAACTAGAGTTGGTTTTTCCCATAACAATTTTGTTGCTGAATGAACACATACCTTTTTACCCCTGTGACTGAGCTAGAGGAAGACAATTTTTGCATGTGGGTAGATTGCTGTCGTAACAAACACCTGAGCAAACTTTACAGTACCCTATCTTGGTTCTGCACATGTCAGAAATTACAATGCCAAGAATTCTATTAAGTTTGTTCTTCTACCTTCACCCGGCCAAAATACATTCCCCAGCTCTTCTCCAAATCCTTGTAATTTAAATAAATATAATGAAATCTCATCTAAAATGATGGGACCTCTGTTTTCTGAGAAGCATAATACTAAAATCCTGGTGGGGAAGAGATAGCTTCTGTGGGTAATTCTGGCATAAGAACCCATCAGCCCTACCCACAACTGCTCATATGTGCCCTGCGTCATCCCCTGCTTCATGCTGCCACAACTGCTTCCGTAGCTGGTTGAGGAACAAATCATGAGCACAGATCCAGATGGAAAATAGCCTAGGGAGAAGGGCTGAGGGAAGGAGTTTTCTGCCAGATCAGTTCCTCCATCTCATCTCAAATTCGTGCATTTGCACCCTGGAGCAATAATGGGAACAAATTCATCTGGGGAAGGGGGGCAGTCAGGGTGGTGACTGTTTAAACCAGTTTTACCACCCTTTTGAAGCAATACCAAGATATTACTTCAAAAAAAAAAAACCTCTTCCCAAAGTCCTCAGTGTAAGGAAATGGTTTGATTGATTTCCCCCAACTCCCACTTTAGTCTGTGTACTACTTGTTGCTGGAGCTTTGATGCTTGTCACAAGTGTGTCGTCAGTCTATCCCTGCCTACGCCTCTCCCTGCTCTCACCACTGTTCTGCCTTTCAAGGAACTTTTGTGGTCTGACTTGCAGAATAAAGACCTTCTTGGGAAAAATAAAGAGGAGGCAGGACGTAACACATGAATTGCCTATGTAATATGTGACTTCTCTGTGTGAGCACAAAGTCTTCCCAGTATTCCCCTCACCGCTTTATTCCTCTGCCAGACTGTGTTTGGGCTGGACACTTTGTGCAGCACTGGCATGGTGCTGCAATTTGACGTAGTTTATTGCTTAACAGTTTCATAACCTCTTCTTTTCACTACTGCATAGAAATGAAGGGCTTTGATGAGGAGATTGCATTACAGGACCAGTTTTGTAAAGAAAAACAAAACTTGGAAACGAGGTTACACTACTACGTCTCATCCCAGCTTGTTTTTTACTATACAGTCCTTCAGGGACACAGCGTGGCAGTGCTAAAGCCAAACTCTCTGCCAGCGTCTGTCAGAGGGACATTAGCTGTGTCCTCTGGCAGATGCTGTGGCAATGATTGTGCGTGAGACTGACACCGATTAGGCCGCACCGCGGGGCTCCCACCAGGCATTTCCTACAGCAGCGAGGCCCAAAGGGTTGGGTATCACAGCAGTGGCAGTGATTGCTACTGATGGCTGTTGGGGCTCTTCCCAGGATAAGTCCAGTCCAAGCTTAGATGCCAGCAGCTCCTGCTGTTTTGACATGAGCTTGATTAGAGTGGCGCTGCAGAGGATCACTAGACAGTACATGTGTGCCAGAGGCCATTGCTAACAGACAGGATAATAAGACCTCTTCCAGGAGCTAATCCAGAGGTATTATGAGCAGGTGTTTTGGTGTCTGCTCCCCTGGCTATCCCAGCAGGGTGGTTGGCTCTGGTATCCTCCACAGGTCCTTGGCAGGCTTTTGCCTTGGCTTTAGCCTCTCTGTGCGTAGCGTAAAGCGAGACAGAGCCTGGCTTGAGACAAGCAGCTCCACACTGCTTCCTACCTCTTGGAAGGGCTTTCACGTCCTTCTCAGCCCTTTTCTTTATTGTCCTGGTCACCTTTCAAACCTGTAGATCCGGAGTTTCCAGCCCAAAAGCTACACCTCCCAATGGGGTCAGGAGGCTGGCAGACGCAACTTGATATGCAAGGAGCTGGGGTCCTGACCAGGCTGCCGGAGTGAGGGTCGAATGGGTGGCTGGCCTCGCCTTCCCATTTGCCTTGCCCTCTGCTTCCAGCTGCCCGGCAGTGCAAAGAGGGAAGGGGTCTGCCATGCCACACTCGGGCATCTCCCTGCCGGAGCCGGGAGGAGGCAGCTGCCGCTCCTCTGTGCCGGCACCCGGGGCAGGGCTGGGAGCGTGCTCTGCAGCAGGAGAGGGCCCGGCCGTGGCTGCGGTTTGGGGCTGGCTCGGAAAGCGGCCCCGCCAGGCGCGCTTACACACAGGGCAGGTGAATGCAAACGCTGCCCGGGGCGGCAGCTTCCCGGGGGTGGAGCTGCTCCGGCACAGGTGGCAGGGCTGAGCCCAGGGCCCTGCGGAGAAACCCAAGACTAAAGCAACCAGCCTTCACCCGGGCAGGGAGGTCACCGCCCTGAAAATCAAGCTATTGCCCGCCGGCACCACCACCACCACCAAGCAAGGCTGTCCGTGGCGAGCATGGACTGTCCGGGGAAGGAAGGCACCGAGGGAAGGAAGAGGAATTTGACCCTGCTAAGGAACAAGCTGTACATGGGGCAGAGGAGGAGGACGGAGCCAGTGGTGGAGAGCACCAACACCGCCGGGGACCACGGCAACTTGAGGAGGAGTCAGTCCGACAGGACAGAGTACAGCCAGAAATTGCAAGGTACTGGGAAAGCTGTTTTGGTGCTCTGCTGCCAGGGATGCTCTGAGCTGGGGTGGTGTCTCCATGCCCTCCATGCTGCAGCCTTCAGATAAAGAAGGGAATGGCAGGCTCTGCCCGCCCCCCCAGCTGGAATGAGCAGTGGCCCCTCTGAGATGTTTCCCCTAATTTTTCTAAACAGTGTTTTGTAGATGTGATACAAAATATAACTGAAGTTTTGTTGAGTTCCTGCAAAACTCGTGTGCAACCAAAATCTTTCTCATTCACTGGACAAACAAAAATGTGAAAATAGGATGGCTCCATCCTATCTGTCTTTGGCTGTCATAGTAAGTGGGGTATGTGCCAAGTAATTAGAAGCACCAAGGACTTTTTTTCTTTTTCTCAGTTAAAAATATGGTGGTCTAGAAACTGTTGCATAGATTGTACAATCCTGAGCTGAAGTATATCCAAATACATGTTCAGATGGTTATGCTGATGCAAATTATACCATTCTGTGATTATGGAGAGAGTTACTTTTCAAATAATCAAATTGCATATGGACCACAAATTGTAGTAAAGTATGTTAGTGCTGGGCTTGTCAACCAAAAACTAAATGTGATGCCACAAATTGAGGAAAAGCATGAAGAATGTGAATGGCAGTTTCTGGGAGTGTTTTGGAACACCCACTGATGAATTTCTGTGTGTTTCTAGGGTCTTGAACAACAGGGTTTGAGTATTGTTATACTACAAGTGTATTAGTAATAGTGCTATAACTGCTTAGTGACAGTCATTCGTGCAACCATAATCCTTTATGAGGAAATAAAATAGAAAAATACTTTGGATTGGTGTATTGTGGTTTTGATGCACTTAATTAGGAAGTAGCATTGCTTCAGAGAGACAATAAAAGTAGAAAATAGAATAATAAGCCTGAAAATGATGGGTTTTCTATGGGGACAGTATATGCTGAGAACAGAGAGGTTCATCAATTGTGCTATACCCTCCTCATGATAGCTAATCAATGAGAAGGTGAAAAATACTCAATTAAGTCAGGCCTCACGATTCAGGAACCTGGCAGGGGTGTTTCAGAGCACAAGCATGGATCACTGTGGCAAGCTCCTGGCACATGTCCCATCAAAACAGCCGATTTTAACTCGTGAACGGGCTTGGCCAGGTGAGCTCAAGGTTATCAAAGAGGTGTCCAGCAAAAAGGTGTGAAATCTTTCTGTCCTGTGTCAGCTGTATTCCAACCATGAATGTCTCCTGTTTAAAATCTGAAGCAGAGGTGGTGGGGAAGCCCAGGAAGTCATGGCAGAGTGTGAGGTTATGTTTTTGGCAGCAGTCCAAGGAGACAGTACAGCTTTACAGCTCCTGCCACCTGCTGAGACTGCCGGGGCCACGTATTGCAAAGCACGGCCTGGTATCAGCTCGCTCTGGTTGCTTGTGTTTGTTTGAGAACAACACTGATGGGTTAGCAAGGTTCCTGCAGGCTTTGCATTGGATTAGAAGTTGCCTGTTCTCAGAGTGAAAATATAAAGGCGGTAGAAATTCCTATAAAGCATGTGTTGCAGTCACCATGGAAATGCAGTTTTGTGCCAAGGCCTGACCTGGACCAAAGTTTTCTAAGGTAGATGTACCTGAATCTGATAATAACCCCGGATCCCGGACCTAATGTTGGCTGCCTGCCAACACTGACGATGTTCTGTGGTTGCACACCTTTATGTTCTGCATTTTTCTCGTAGCACTTGGATGCAAAGCAGATTTTTGCAAGGTGAGGGGAGTGATCTCATTGGCACAAAGCTTTTGAGCTTTGTTTTTTTTTTGATTCTTGTTTTTTTTGATTTTTTTTTTATTTTTTTGGTTTTTTTTGATTTTTTTGGTTTTTTTGATTCTTGTTAAGAAAACCCAGCAGCTCTGTTTGCGACAGCTAGTCTGTTGTTGTGTCCTGGTCAGGACTTTCTGATCGCCCTAGGGTGGTAAATGCTTTGTAAAAAATTACAAATGATAATTTGCACTTGCTTCCAATGGGAATTTTGGGAAAAGCTCTGTGCTTAGTTGAGTCTTTCTTCTATAGTGTCCTGTTAATATGTTCTCTAACATATAATCTGCAGACTTGGGGTAGGTATTAGCACAGACAAGGATGTATAAGATAGAGAGAGGCCACAGCAGCAAGCCCTGGAGGAGGAAATCTGTGTGTGGGGCAGGTTTCCACGAGTAAAAGTCAGGGCCTGCAGGACCCTGATATGTGCTAGTGGCAGGCAGCCTGGGCAGAGCACAGGGACCGAAGTGTCTTTACCTCTCAATGGCACTGCCAGCCCCCTGCACCCCCTGAGGGTTTCCCTGAGGAGGAACTGTGCTCTTGCTCTCCACAGCCATTTCCAGCAGCTCTGAAGTAAATGTTCAAAATGCAGCTCAGTGTGGTGGAAATAGAGGCCCCCAAATAAAAGCCTGTGAAGGAAAAAAAAAATAATATAAAATAAAAAACCCAAGAGGCCAAGCAGTCAGGCATAAAAACTCCTAAGAATTAAATTTCTGCTCTTGGATTTCTTTTAAGTTTTGTTTTATACAGTAAGCCAATGTTTTCTATGAAGAGTGAGAAAGATCTCCAGGGTAATCGAGGTGGTTTTTTCTGACAGTCTACAAAACAGTAGTGCACAATAGCATTGCCAAAGGTGAAAATTACTGCAAGTGTTTTTCACTTTAAAATTAAGGATTCCTAAAGACACAAGAAAGCATTTTCATAGTTAATGACTATAGTAGATGCGTCTATTCAATAGCTTATCTGGTGTGAATGGCCATGCAACTCTTCCTGACTTTACTCTTTTTAAAAAGGAAATAAGATGCAAAGTAACTATTATATTCTCAAGGAGCTTGGCAAGCATTCGTGCCTGTACTTCGACTCATCCTGTGAGATAACCAAATGCCTGCTGGCCTCATTTTAGATAGGGGAAAGTAAGGTGATTGCCATCAAATGCCAGGTTCTTGATAAAACCCTGCAGTCGTTTAGAACTCAGATTGTACTTGCATACTTGGAAGAGTCCCGGAATACCTTGATCAGGCCACATATATATCTTCCATCAACTGGACATCACTTTTCTGAAGAGGGAAGAGTGGGGATGGGGAAGATACATTCACTAGCATCTGTGGTGGAGATGCAGAAATAATATCAAGGATCATTATAAGGCTTCTTGTAAGAGCTAAGGCAGAACTCTTGTGACATTTCTATGCATTGCTCTGCTCTACATTCACTAGAAAATTCTGCAAATATGTTCTTTCAAGAGGAATGAAGAGGTTGCAAAACACAAAGTGATATTTAGTATCTCTATTTTAAAATGTATTACGTTTAGATGGTAGAATTATCTTTTCTACAGTGAAAATCCATCAGTAGCGGCTTTAAAAGTAACTATATTAATATTTATGTATTGTATGAAAGTTGTGATCAGTCTTTGAATTAACCCAAAGCTTCCATCTGTGAGCACCTGTGTATTTCAATATAAGGGGTTTGCTTGATGCAGTTATTGGCACATAAATGTTTGCAAGATCAGGGCAGATTAACATACAGCATGTCATGGGGATAGATGCTATTAACTAAAAAGGCATTTAAAGCATAGTTCACTGTCTGTTAGGTTTTGGCCAGGTTGCTGGTTTTTGTTAATAATTGTATGCCAGACTTGTGCTTGCTGTGAAAAATGAGCTATAGAAAGTGGTGGGTTTCCTGAAGGAATCAGAGATCACATATGCAGTGCTCAGCGAGACAATTCATGCCTCAAAAAAGCACTTTGTCTTACAAATCATTACATATTAACTCTCTTACAACTTTGGCTGTGAATGGGTCAACTGCCCCGGTAAATGATTTGCACACACTTCAGTTTAAAACGCATCAGGGACGGACCTGTATTAGATAGTGATTCAAATCACACGGCTACCACAATACATGCCTCAGAGCTCATGTCTGAACGCTGAATGCTGTGTGCTTTCTCTGTCTAATGTAGTCATGAGAAATAAGTAACACCAGAAATGATGCAGAAACCAGTAAAATTATACAAATTCTTGGAAAACTACTCTTCCTTTGTGTACAAAAGCCCAGTCAGAGGCAACTCATCCACCTTTGCTCCATCTCAAGCAGGGCACCTTTCTCCATCCCATCCTCGTCCCTGCTTGCAGAGCACAACACTTCTTCCTGCATGGGCTGCCCATGCTCTCATCTTCTTGCACCTCCCACCTCTGTGCCACTCCCCAGTTCCTTATTTGCTTTATGGTGTTCTGATTAACTTTCTATGGACTACAATGCAGATAATATCTAATTTCACTGCAGAATGAATTGATCCGTGGAATGGCTGGTTTGCTAAAGTGCAGTAAGGAGTAAAATTTCAGATTATTTCCTTAAGTGCAGGAGATGGCTCAATGAAAATCCTCCCCCCTGTGCCCTGTGATGAGAAGCCACGATCTAACAAATACTTTTATTTTCTTCCATGCAAATTTAGGCTCAAGGGATCTAATTCTCTTAACTTGCCCTGCAATAAGGCTGAAGTTATTCCTTGAACTTACTGTAGTGTCTGCCAGGCTGGGAAGCGAGCTCATCTTTTCAGGGTAGAATCCATTTTGTGCTGCAGTGTTTGCACAGCACTTAGCACAACCAAGCCCTGCTGTGGGGCTGAGGGCTCTTAGGAGCTGCAGCACAGCAGAACTGGGACCTGCAGCCGAAGGGAAGACTGGGACACAAGGAGGGTTATGGATCCTCCTCTGAGCATATTAGCAAACATTTTATTAATTGGGATACTTTGGGTTGTGGGCCACACAGCCCACAGTTCATACAGCTAATCTGTGCAAAAGCTTGAGGTGCTTGTGTCCTGGAGGAAGTGGTTCCAGGTACAGCCCTTCCTCAGTTCCTGCTTTATTAATTTATTGATATTAGCTGAGTGCCACAGGGGTGGTGTATTTATACTGGTATGTGACACCCTGGAAAGGTTTATTTGTAAGTATTGGTGCTAACAATAAGGGCATTCTTCTGTCACCTGATGATAAGC